CAGTACAATATTGATGAAAGCAGGCATCCTTGTCTTATTCCTGATCTTACATGGAAAGATTTTAATCTTTCACTGTTGAGTATTATTTAGCATTGAGTTTCTAATAAATGCCCTTTATCATGTAAGACAATCCTCTTATATTCTTAGTTTGTTGAGTGTTTCTATTATGAAACAGTGTTGGAGTTTGTCAAATGCTTTCTTTTGCATAACTTGAGATGACGTTTTCTCCTTTCTTATATTAATGTAATATATATTACATTAATTGATTTTCATATATTGAATCACCCTTTCATTTTGTGCATAAATCCCAATTCATCATGATGTAAAATCCTTTCAATATTCTGCTGGCTTAGTTTGTCAGCATTTTGTTGAGGATTTTTGCATCAATATTCATCAGGACTTTTGAGGTGAGGTATATGTTTCTGGCATACACTATGGTAAATAAACAAACAAGTAAAATTATGCACATACCATATGACCCAGCACTTCCACTGCTTTGATTTACCTAGATATATATACACACATGCTCAGAAATGCATAGATGGATTTTTATTGTGGAACTGTTTGTAAGGGTCAAAATGTTGGAAATAGCCCAAGTCATCAAAAGGGAAAGGTCAAATAAACTATCCTCAAAGAAAACTGCATAGTCATTAAAAAGAATGAGATTCTTTATTGAAGCATCTCCAGGAATATTGTTAAGTAAAAAACAGTAGGACAGTAAATGTAATTTTATAACTTTTAGTTAAAATGTATAACAGAAATATATAAATTTCTATATGGATAGCTGTCAAGCTGTTAAGTGTTTAATTGTGGGGAGGGGTTTGAAATTGTGTTAAGGTGTAGTTAAAGCAGTATATTAAGATGAACTAGGCTATCTCAGTGACTTTAAAATGGTTTATTACTCCTTCATGTCAGTTCAGTGAGAGTTATTGGCTCTACAGCATGGCTCTGCTCCATGGATTATTTGGGTATCTAGCCTGCATTCATCTCACAGTTATGTGTTCCAGATGGCACACATGGTTTCCAAGGTTACTGAAAGGAGTGTGGAGAGGTCACCCCGCAGTGTTTATAAGCCTTAGATGTGTCTTATATTACATTTGATGGCCCCAACATATGTGCAAGGGAGGCTGGGAAATGTAAAAGGACACGAAATTTTTGTTTTTTTGGCCCCGCTGCCCAACTTGCTGGATCTTAGTTCCCTGACCAGGGATTTAACCCACGCCCTCTGCAGTGAAAGTGCAGAGTCCTAACCACTGGACAGCCAGGGAATTCCCAGAACACGTACTTTTTGATCAAGCAATCTTACTTTCCAGAATCTATTCTATAGAAATAAAAGCACTAGTAAATTGAATATCTGTACAAGCATGCCCATTGCAGACAGCAATTCTTTTAGTGGGCAAAATATAGAAATAGTTTGAACGTTAATTAACAGGGGAATGGTTTGAATAACATAAGTTATAGTCATACTAGAGAAAGTAGATTCATTTACGTTTGTATTTACTGACCTTTGGAAAGTCCTATAAGACTTCCAAGCTGAAATAAAGAGACACAAGGTAAATGCGTAACTCAAAGTCATATGAAGACATAAACAACAATGGTAAAGGTAGTTACATAGCTAAATTAAAAAGCAAGCAGTTTTGCATATTTGGTTTATAACTCCTCTTTTTCTTCTATATGACTTAAAAGACAAATGCATAAAACAATAATTGTAAAGTTATGTTAATATGCGCACTCACCATAGACCCTGTTTCAGGTGAGCTGTGCAGAAGGAGTCTTCTTATAATCAGAGAGCCTACTGGTTTATAATTCATAATTAAGAGCTGCTGAAAGTCATAATGTAACATCATAATATTTAGTTAAAATGCAAAACAGAAATATATAAATTTCTAGATGGATATCCATAAAACTGATAAGTGTTTAATTGTGGGAAGGAGGTTGAAATTGGATGTGTGGTTAAAGCAGTATATTAAGATGAACTAGGTAATTCATTATTTGTGACAATAGCAACATAAAGATATATAATGTCTTTATTTAACAATTATTCCTGGAGAGGCTTCAATATAAGAATCTCATTTTTTTTAACTACCATGTAGTTTTCTTGGTATAGCTAGACCACAGTTTATTTGACCTTTCCCTTTTGATGACTTAGGCTATTTCCAATATTTTGGCTCTTACAATGTCACAATAAACATCCATCTAGGCATTCTGTGCACATGTGTACGTATATCTCTATTGTAATACAAAGCAGTGGAATTCTGGTTAATATGGTATGTGCATATTTTTTGGGTTTGTTTATGTTTTTCCTTTCCCTTTGTAAAAGCTATTGAGGTATTAGAGATATTTTCCTGTTATCTGTTATGATATTGCAAATATTTTTTTCCCAGGCTATTTCTTGTTTTGGGATATTTAATATTTTTTTCCTTTACAACTTCTGGATTTTCTTTCATGTTTAAGAAGATAATCACATTACAAGACTATATAGTTTTTCTCCTAATTTTCATTGCAATATTTTATTTCTGTTTTACACATTTTCATCTTTAATCCACCTGGGATGTATTTTTGTGTATGTGGCTAGTAGGAATCTATGTTCATTTTCTTCTGATTGGATAGTCCATGTACTTGATTCTTAGGTTAAAAAACCTCCTTAAAATTTGTAAAATCTTTAAATAAAAATGCTTATAGCTAAATATTTGCTCACTGCTGTGATTATTTCCTTAGGACAAAGTTCAAGCAGTAGAATTTGGGAGTCATGGAGTATGCAGAGTATAGAGCTTTTGGTATTTATTGTGAATAGAAGCAAAAAAATGAATATAGCAATTTACTCTTTCATTGAGTATGAAAATGCCTACATCCTCAATAAAACTGAGTATTGTAAGTAAACATTTGTCTATTTGATAGGTAGATAACAACTTGTTTTATTTTATTCATTTTTCATTTGTCTTTTTGCCTTCTACTAAGGTTGAATAATGCTTATTCTCCACATAGATTTACTTGATGAGTACCCTCAATTTTCAGGCTATGGTACCAACCATTTTGACTTTCAGGAGCCCTTAATTATGAATTGTAAACAATTAGGCTCTTTGGTTATAAGAAGACTCCTTCTGCACTGCTCAGCTGAAACAGGGTCTATAATGAGGATTTTTGAAGCAGTTTTGAAGAACATAATTTCATGGGAACCCCAAAATGAAGATTCCAAGGCCATATGCACAGAAATTCTGACTTTGTAAGAGTATGTGTGTGTATGGGGAGCTATTTGTCATAAATTTGTATTTGTAATAAGCACTCTAGAAGATTATAATGTCAGGAGCTGACTTTTTGAGAGACATCAATTAATTATACAAGGTTATATATAATAGTTTTATAGACTGAATTTAGGGAATAATCCCTTTCTTATTGGGTTCTTTTTGAAAATGTAAGTTACAGTTTCTAGAGAAATAGATTATTTCCAATTTTATGCAATCAGAAGTAAAACTGGGCCAAGAACACTAGAATTCTAATTAAGTAAACATTTATTAAGTACCCACTATGCATAAGTCACAGCAGTAATCAATAGAAATATAATGAAATGATAAAATATAATGAAATATTATAGTCTTTACTTTCAAATGGAAAATGCAAAAAGTCCAGTTAAGAAATAATGCTTAAGTACACATATATACATATACATAAAATGATATATGTACATATATACACTAAAAGGTATAAATACATATATTTCTATATATGTGTATATGTTTATATATATAATATGTGTTATATGAGTCTTACAAAGAATTCTTACATATGTTTCAGGATTGGAAGGGATGGAGAGAAGGGGATTGTTTCCCTAGATCTATTTCCTGCATTACTTTGTGCAATTTACACATGTCTCCTGAGAGTCTCCTGAACCAGTAGGGCAGGCCTGACAAGAGCCTTCAGGGAGAAATCATCCCACAAGAGAAAGAAGACGAAACCTCAGTTCTTAGACTTCGAGCAGCAACTCTGACTGTAGCATGACATCTTTTGCTCAAATTTGAACCCTGGTCCAACCCCCAAAATGGACTCATCATGTCTGACTCCTATGGAGGAAGTGTCCTGTGGCTGAAAATGGAAGGGGCTGTTTTACTAAAAACTCTGCTTAACACTGTGGCACAAGCAATCCTGGAACAGTCCCCACCTCTGTTAAGCATCACTATAAAGCAGAGAGAAGCTTTAGAAGACAGAGTGGGGATTCAACGCACTGGGGACTCCAGGAAACTCAACGGGGCTTTGGCACTCAAGGACTCCACTGCACCACCAGCAGCAGGGCCAGCAAAGAGCAAAGGGCCTAGCAGAAAAGGCAGCAGTGCCCAGCAGGCCTGGCAGGACCCAGGGGAGCCAGGGGTGGGGTTCAACAGCAGAAGCCTGGCATGGAAGTCCCCACCTCCCTGCCTATTGGACTTGTTCCTGAGCACTGGTTGAGTCATGCCAGGACCCTCCCTCCCTCAAAACTGATGTTCTGTAGTGGGTTGGGGTTCTGTATGCACAGGTGGGAACAAGAGCCCACCAAGCACAGCTCAGTCACCTCATTTCTTCCCCACAGCAGCCCTGTGAGGCAAATGTTTTCCCATGAAAAGACTGAGTCTTAAGCAAGTGTATCTACACTAATTGCCAGTTTTATTTCTCTGGCTAAGAGATCCAGAGATAATTTGAAGTTTACATTTCTTTCTTATAGTTCTGTTATTAAGAGTTTATTAAGTGTTTCATTGCCCTTCAAAGGTGATTGACAAGTTCTTTTATTGTGTCTGTTTATTTTAGTTTTTTCGTGACACAAGTAATACACACATATACACACATTTATATTATTCATTATTTTGGAAAATGAGAAGATGCAGATAGGCAAAAAATAAAATAAAATACAGATCACAGAGATTCACTGTTAACCTTTTGGTGTATAATAATTCAGACATTTTTTTGCATTATGACATGTATAAATGTACCTATAAGATATATATAGATAGACATATCTATATATATCCTTTTGCAACATATTATTTTCACTTTACAATATACAATGAGCATCTTCCCATGCAAACGAATGAAACAACCCTATTAAATGAGTGAGATTGGGTTAAAGGATGAAATGGTAACGAGTCATATGTAAATCAAAGGAACACCGAAGGATTGGAATAAAATAGTAGCAAATATTTAGCAAGAAAACGCAGACAAAGGGAACCAATGTTGCAGTATTAATAACAGAAAATAGTTGAATTCAGGGGAGAAATGCATTAAATGGGATAAGGACGGTCCCGAGAATGCCTATGGTTAGAATGCAGAGCCCTAAATTTCTTTCTCAGACCCCTTATCTCTTCCAAACACCTTTCCATCTCGTCTCCCTCTCTTGTCTTTTCTTCATCCTTAAAATGCCTATAGTCTATGTCCTCTTTAAATTCCTCGAGAGACTGAAGCAACCTTTGCCTAAAATTCCCTTCTGTTTGCTGGCGTTCGAATTCTCCATAGGGGCGTTCTTCCTCCCTCTTTGGCACGCTGCACTTGGGCTTTCCTTCATTTTCTTTGCAGGATTTTTGCATGCTGTTGCGGTTTCCTGCTTAAGTCCAGGGAGAAAATGTAGAGTAAGATTGCTTCATTTCTTTTCATTCAAGATTGTCAGTTTCTCTCTGAAGCTAGATAGTCGCCTAATCTCCCACCCCTGCTTCACTGGTCCAGCCCTCCGAAGTTCGAGATGCACCCCCTCCCTCCCCTACCCCTTCTCCGCCTCCTTTCCCCTCCCTCAGCAGCCCACCATTTCTCCAGCAGACGAGGCTAATGGCCTCTCTGATGGGCGGCAGGAGGGGAGCGAGACAGGGAGTTGAGCTGTGGGGCCGCTACAAATTTTACCCAGCTCTTGCCCTTCCCAACTCTCACCCTCAGAGACCCCCGTCTGAGTGCTCCCCTCCCTGAGACGATTCGGGATAGTTTCCTCCTCTTTTACTTGCCTGGAGATGTCTGTGAACACAGACCCTCAGACCTGCAGACAGAAAGGAAGGGGCGGTAAGGAGGGAGTTCTCTGTGGATCGACCAGCGCCAGAGACAGGACACACGTTATTATCTTGAATCTAGGATCCTCATCACCGTGTCGCCCCAAATTTCCCACCTCCTGTTTCCCCTCCTGTTCTCATCCCTTCCTACCGAATCTCTGCCCCCACCCCCCCCCACCCTCAGGCCTAGTCCCGCAAGGGCCCTGTCCCCACCCCTCCCTCCCCACTCCTCCACATCCCTCTCGCAGGCTAGCATTGAATGAGGCGAACTGTTTTCAAATTATCTCTAAATTTCTCTGTCTCCACCTCAGGATTCCAGCCTTTCTCCACGCACAAGCCCACACCTCATTTCCTCCAGCGGAGCTGGGAAAAGAGAAGAAGGATAAAGGGAAATCTTGCTAGTCTGAGAGAAGCTGAATATTTCTAAACTACACTAAACCACTGATGTCTCTCAGGAGACTTCCACCTACTCCAGCCCCACCCCCCTTCAAAAGTATAATTATCTCCGACGAGTTTGCACGGGTTTGGAGAAAGCAATCCTAGACATATTCCAGGCACTAGATTCAGTCACTACCACCCCAAGAGTCCCAGTGGTTCCCTCACACCAACCTTCTGGGATTTAAAGAATTTACGTCCTCTTTCTCTTGGCCACAAGCACGAACGCCTGCAGGGCAGTAAGGAGCTGGTACCCAGAGGAGAAAGAAGCCCGGGAATATGAGGACTTCACGGCAGCTCCTGATCACGTGAGGATTATGTCATCCTCCAACTCTGGTCCCCACTTTCCCCTCCCACCAACTGTGCTGCAGAAATGGAACGGCTTACCAACCTCCCACCACCCCCCACCAGGCCCTGTCACTCATTTTTGTCATTGCTAATTCCAGAGGTCAAAAGTGGCCCCTTCTCCCTGTAGTTGGAATTTGCCTTTCTCTGATTACCAGAGAAGGGCTGCATTTTCCCATAGTCATATTAACAATTTTTTAATGGTTGCGTGGAGAGAGAGGATTATTCATCCTCTTCTAAAATACAAGAACAGAAAGGGAACAGTCTTCCCTCCACCCACCCTCTCCCCAGTCACTAATAGCCACCATTTTCCTTGCACTTCAGTTCTTGCAACCAAATTGGAGGGAGTGAGGTAAATTAAGGAAGGAAGTAATGACTGGGATTGTGGTTTTCACTTTCATTCTGATAATTTCCTATTCTTTTCCCCTTTTCCCCCATAAACATATTATATTCTTTTAATAATCAGAAACATGGTAACAGTACGTACATTTGGAAAAAAGATTCAAGATAGGAGGATAAAAAGACCCAGTCACCTGTTTCTGTTGCTGAGTCATAAGATAAATATAGACCCTCCAAGCAGACACATTTTTGTAAGTTTAGGATGTACAGGGCAACTGGAGGCTACCTTTTTGAGGCACTCCTGAGCATGTGAGGCCTTTTCATTAGGTGAGCTTCTGAGTCCATAATCCTACATACCTAGATTTTCAGATATCAAAAGTCAGTCATAAAATTTTACTGCTTCGATCTCAGTATCATGCCCTCTGTCTCCCAGTTTGTACCATACCCTTGTATCTCCCTCAATACTGTGTTTAAAAGATCCCACCTTTCCTCAACACTCTTATTTAGAATCCAATAGGTTTTCATTTCTCCCACACATCTCTATCCTATTTATGTTTCCTTAGACCTTACTCAGCCACACTGGGGAATTAGAAGCACTAACAGAAATTGGCCCCATTTAGTCACTTATCACACAAAACTTTTTGTTGCTAAGGCTTTTGGTACTAATCTAAGTGAATCTGTTGTTGATTGGTTAGCTTGAAATATGTGCAACAGAAAGAAGGATATGTTCTTTCTTTTAATGCTTTTTAAAAAAATTTTTTTTTTTGGCTGCACTGCGCAGCTTGTAGAATTTTAGTTCCCTGACCAGGGATTGAACCCGGGCCCTCTCAGGCAGTGAGAGCACGGGAGTCCTAATCACTGGACCACCAGGGAATTCCCAGGGATGTGTTCTTAGTATTTGTTTTTAGGAAAACAGTGGCTCATTATAAATGCGAAGTTGCCACTAACAACTTTGAAGTAAATGGTTCCAGAAAATATTTAAGAAGAGAAAGAGAAGAGATCTTAAAAAGAGTAGGGCATTGTTATCACGGTTATTAAGGAATGGTTAGTTGTGATAGAAGCAAATGATTTGTTGTTGGGGTGGAGAAATCCTGAATCCTATATAAACGGCTTTTCATGCAGATCATTAGATTTATGTGGTTTTTTTTCCAATTTGAAAGCAGTCATTCTTTATTAACTGACCAGATTACAAAAATGATGGCAAATACCATAGTTCATCCTTCTAATAAGCCTGCTTTTCTGGTCTTCCCTGTTGCCAGCATCTCCACCTTCTGTAAAATGCGTGGTCTTTTTCTTCATTGTCTTCATGACTGACAAATACCAAGTGCTCCAATAAGTGGCAGGTCTCAATGATTACCTCCAAAGTAGCTCAGGAATCCTTCCAATTCCCACTCTGGCTTTACTGCCCCTTCCCAAAGGCAAGCAACCATAAACTCCGACCACTACAACAACATTTACTGGCCTCTTTAACTTACATCTTGCCACCTTCCAATAAAATGAAGATTCTAAACAACAGATATGATCATGTCACTGCCCTACCTTATTTTACTTCATTCTCCAAAAATTCTATTAGATCTGGACAGCTTTAGTTATCTAAACATTTCACAGAATACATCTCCATCTATAAGTAAAAGCTGTTATAAAAATTTGCATGCAAATGCAAGCAAAGTAGGATATTGAGTTAGATTTAATTTGTTTCCCTACTATTGGTTGATGGGACTCATAGGTGAGGACAAAGAGGCATTATATACCATGAAAAAAAAGTCCAATAATTGGGACCTGATACCTTCATAAGACCTTACCAAAACCCGCCTAACCCGTGTATCTACAACAATGTCCCAGTCCTCCTTCTCCCAAATCAGTGTAAGGAGACAGGTAAGGGTGACAGGTAAAGAATTGTGGGAGCCATAGACTTTGTGGGGAATTCAGTGTCATTCATTATAACAACAATAACAACAACACCGATAGTACTTCATACTTATATAATACTTGTAATATACCAGGCACTCTTCTAAGCACTTTACATATACTAACGGAATTACTATTCATTACTACTCACAATGCTATTATTAGCAAACTAAGGAGTACAGAGGTTAAGTAGCTTGCCCAAAGTCACACAGTAAATAGTGGAGATAGAATTTTAACCAAGGTATTCTGACTCCAGGGTTGGCACATTGTGAAAGTCAATTCTATCCCTTTCTCGTGGATGAAAGGGAGAGCATAGTTCTTTCCTCTTTTAAACCAAGTAGAGGTGGAAGCTCTAAGAGAATTACATACAGAGAGAGGTCTGCAAGAACAAGGTACTGGTGTACAGTTCTTAGTTAGATCACTGCTTATTCTGTTGATCCAAAAGAGATAGCAGGGTGAAGATAGACACATAGTGTACTCTCCCCATTGCTATGGCAAGGAGGGGTGAATTTTCCTGTGTGTTAGGTAGACACCAGGCTGACTTGCTGGTTCTTTTCCAGTATGGCTTCACAAAGGGTGAGGGGACTCTATAAGCAAATAGTCCTAGAATTGTGCAAAATATGTTCAAATAAACCAAATGACAAATGATGGAAAAACTTGGATTAGGCATATCCTCCTGCCTTGAATAACTAGATAACTGGGCAAATATATCAAATAACTACAAATGTTTTTAGACTCTAGACAATTGGCAGCACAAGGGTGTGGTCCCTGAGAGAAGAGAAGCAATCAAGATGAGCCCTATGATTGCTTTGGATTTTGACTAAAGGCATCCTATGGATTGTGGCATAGAGAGGAGGAGCATTGTGAGGAAGAATACAAGAGATGATGGATTAGTGCAGAAAATCATTCTCCAAAAGTCTTTTAAAAGTTTCCCTTGAGCCTGTTGCTATATATTAAGCTGCACACACATAAAGTGAAACTTCATGAGGCTGGGCAAAGAATGACAAGTGAGTTACAAGCCAGACACAAAAGGCCACATATTGTATGATTGTATTTATATTAAATATCCATAATAGGCAGGTCCATAAAGACATAAAGCAAATGAATGGTTTCCAGGGGCTAAGAGAGGAGATAATGGGGAGTGAATGCCTAAGAGGCCTGGGGTTTCCTTTTGGGATGAAGAAAATATTCTGGAGCTAGTGTTGATAACTGTACATTTGTGAGTGTACTAAGAGACACTGAATTCTACAATTAAAAATGGTTGAGGTGTGACCAACATGGTGGAGTAGGAAGACCCTGAACTCACCTCCTCCCACAGGCACACCAAAATTACAACTGTTTACAGAGCAACTGTCTATGAGAATAACCTGAAGACTAACAGGCAAGATTTTCCATAACTAAAAATATAAAGAAGGAACTACAATGAGACAGGTAGGAGGGGTGGAGTCATGGTATAGTAAAGACCCACACCCCTGGGTAGGCAACTCACAAATGAGAGGACAATCACAATCGCAGAGGGTCTCCCCAGGGAGTGAAGGGTCCAAGTTCCACATCAGACTCCCCAGTCCAGTGTTCCTGCACTAGGAAAGCAAGTTCCCAGAAAATCTTCTTTGAAAGCCAGTGGAGCTTGTGTATGGGAGAGCTAGAGGGCTGTGGGAAACAGAAACTCTGTTCTTAAAGGTTGCACACAAAATCTAACAAGCTCTAAGTCATAGTGCCTGGTTTGGACCCACTTGCTGATCTTGGCGAGCCTCCCAGAGAGTCAGGAGACAACTGGGACTCCCTCTGGGCCATAGATGCTGGCAGTAGTCATTTTGGGGAGCTCCTTCTACCACAAGGACACTGGTACTGGCAAGCACTATATTGGAGTCCTCCCTCTAGCCTATAGCAACAGGAGCTTACCCAGCCACCAGCAGGCTGGCACCAGCCTTGGGCCCTCCAGCTGCACAGCCAGCTGCCCCAAGACCCAGGCCCACCCATGAGCAGATTGGCAACCATGACAAGAGGCAGAGCCTGGCAACCAACTGGGCTGGGGGTCAACCCAATCTACCACTGTGCCCACAGTAGTCTACTCCACCACAATAGAAGAGCCCATGTAGCCCACATAGGGGGCATCCTTGGAGCATAGGGCTCTGGTGATGAAAAGGGAGTGTGGTACTGGGCCCAACAGGACATCTCCTACATAAGGTCACTTCTCCAAGATGAGGAAATATAACCAACCTGCCTAATACATAGAAATGAACACAGAGAATTAGGCAAAATGAGGAGATAGAGGAATATGTTTCAAACGAAGGAACAAGACAAAACCCCAGGAGAAGAACTAAGCAAAGTGGAGATAAGCTATCTACCCAATAAAGAGTTCAAGGTAGTGATCATATAGATGCTCACTGAATTCAGGAGAATGGATGAGCATAAATGGATGAGCACAGTGAGAATTTCAAAAAAGAGTTGAAAAATATAAAGAATCAAACAGAGCTGAAGACTACAATAACTGAAATAAAAAATACTGTAGAAGGAATCAACAGAAGATTAGATGATACAGAGGAATGAATCAGAGAACTGGTAGACAGAGTAGTGGAAATGACCCAAGCTGAAGGGAAAGAAGAATTTTTAAAAAATGAGAGTTTAAGGGCTTCCCTGGTGGTGCAGTGGTTGAGAGTCC